TCTCTGAATGTGGCCCCAAAAGATCTCAGTTCTAGTGGTGTTGATCAGAAGCCAGAATGTTTTCCTGAGATTTGGTAGGAAGAAGAGTGTACTGTTGTTGTTCTTGTAGAACAACAAGAGTCCTTCTACAAGAACAACAGTGTAAATTGTCCTAGGTGTTTGGAAAAAATCCCAGTGAATTTGGGCATAAAAGACTTCTCAAACAGTTATGATTAGTTTCCCACTAAACCAGAAGAAAAGATGTAGCATCTTTTTTACATCCCAATTTTAATTCCTGGTTGAATACTAATAATTTTAAATAAGAATGACTTAACCTACTAATGTCAATCTTCTTTATTTTGTCAGGAACTGATTTAACCCACATAATAATTATATAAACAACTGTCCACACTGGGCCAAATTCCATCCTGACTGAAGATGCATTTGGGATACAATGGTCCAGAGCTGTTCAGTGTAAATATTCCTGCAATTCTGAACATATTCTGAACATTACCTTTTTTCCTTTTTTTTTTCCCCCTGACTCTCCATTATCTTTGGAAGGGAATAACGTCAAAAGGCTTTAAAATGTATATATATTATTTTAGTGATTATCTTATCAAAACCCCTCTGGGATATCCTTGCCTCTCTCCTTAACACATTACTTGCCCAGGTCCCCCTCCCCCTGCTCTCCCTGGTGTTGTCTCTGAGAGAGCACAGTAAAAATTAAATAATAGTTGACATCATTTGGTTGGACTTGTGCTCAGATTATCTCTATTATTCATGTGATCTTTCTTATTATTTTTCTTTTTCATTCACTGTTATATTTTATTTACTTTAATGAGCTGGATTCTGGGCTTCAGCCTGGGACTGGAGAGAGACCTGGCGTGCTTTCAAACTATTGTTTCCCTGTGGTTGAGATTAACGTCATCAGGATTTTCCTCTCTGTTATTTATTAAATCTTTTTCTTCCTCTCTCCCTCATGTGTGAGGAATACCTTGTTGATGGTCATGAAATAGAATCTACATAAAAATAGTGAATACAGGTTTGGAGTCTTTCATTCACACCTTTGTTTATGGAGGCGATGTTAAGTGTAGCAGATCTTCAATTTTATTTGTCTCTCTTTTCAAATCTGAGTTGGATGCTTGCAGAGGAAGTATGTACATTTAAATTGGACTTGTGTAAATTCCCTAAATTCTCATTTTCTGCAGAAATTTCGGGTCAGCAGCAGCTCTGTGCAGGGGTAGCCCTCACTAACAATCCAGTATATATGTATGATGTTAGTAAAACAATGGCAGAGGACAATTAAAGGCCTCTGTATCTCAGCTGCAAAGGGCAGGATGGGATTGAATTGCCTTTGCACATCCCCTCTGCAGAGCAAGTGTGTCTTTTGGTCAATTTGTTGAGCTAAAGATACACTTAGAGCTGGCTCTGAGCTCTCAGAGGTGCCCATCCAGGAGGAAATGTTACTCAGTTTTAGACAGAATATAGTCTACTGTGTTTTTCTCCTATAAAGGTATAATTTTGGAGAAGGAAATATTTAAACCTAAAATTTTGGTAATCAAAGGATATTTTTTGTCTGAAAGCACTGTTTTCAGTGTGTCTGGCAAAGTGGAACATCTCATTTTTGGTTGGTGGCCATGAAAATTAAGAGGATTTTTTATCTGGGAGTTCATAAAATACTTCAGTTTTGCTTGGTCTTGAGATAGACTAGATATTAACAGGAAAAGGAGGCACGTGGGTTGAGTGTAATAGCTGGAACAAGGCTCTTTCCTCAGAACCTCTGCCTCTGTGTGCTTCTTTTGAAAGGTACCTGTCTGTGTTGGCTTTTTTTTTATTTTTCTGGACAGGATTTACTGCATCAGCAGTCTTCAACACTGGAATAAAAGGACAAACTGAGAATGTAATGAAGCCCGTGGCACAGTTTCTCTTCAAATGAAGAAATACTCTAAAGTTTTTGGGGTTTGTTTTGTTTAGGCTGTTTATCATAAGATTTTCAGGTAGGTTCCAGCATTCACAAGTTGTTCAAATCAAGTCCCCTTTGTCTGTTTTCAAAGAATTTGGTTCCTAGGGGATCTTCTTGAGCCCATTCAGGTGTGTTGAAATACATCCCATTTTTCTGTTGAACTGCATTTCTATCTGAAATTTCAGTTATTGTTGAGGAGTATCTTTGAATTTGTTTGTATTTCTTCAGAGTTAGTCTTTATTCTTAACCCTCCTTGACCTGGCAAGGCGTTTGTATTGATCCCAACATGTGGGTCTCAGACTGTGAAACTTAGGAGCTCAGAGCTGACCTTTGAATGTCTGGTGAATCCATCCTCATTCATTTTAGCAGAAACAGGAACCTGGATATCTGTTCTCATTTATCCTTTGGAATCACCCATTTTTCTTCAGCCACTGCATCTGGGCTAGATAATCTTTAAACTCTTCCCTTCTCTGAAAAACTTTCTAGGTTTACCAGTCCTGTGGAATAACATGAATTGCAGATCTTCTGGTTAAATGTGGACTGAGCTGGGGCTGTGTTGTGAAGACACCAACCCCAAAAGAAGTTTTAGGCTTTAGGAAAATTCAGTCTAATCCTAAGACCTCTGGAAAGCATCTCAGAAGGACTCTTTTGAAGGGTTGTTCTGAAAGGGGTGACTCAGTGGAAGATCTCTCAGTTGAGGCTTTCCTTTGTGAAAACTCCTTTGCAATGCAATTCCACAAATGTTGCTTCTACTTGTAGTGTTAATATGGAATAACACTCTTTCATTCTTGTGTGTGAAATTACAGATAAGCTGATCCATAATAAATGATCTATAATGCAGCTGGAGCAAATTTGCTACTCAGGAAGCAACTCAAGACGCAGCCTGAAAGTTTCTTCCTCCAAAAGATACAGATAAAGATAAAAGCATGGTGTTGTTCATGTTTTGCTAAATATACATTTCCTTGGGCTTGGCACAAAGGAGTTTTCAGGTCTTAATGGATTTGCTTTATTCTGTCTACATTTGCTAGTGCATTATGGGCACCTTCAGTAACACCTTGAGCAAACCAGGCCATGCACCAGAGTGATCCATTTTTTTTGGCATGAATTAATTTAAGTGATGCAGGGGAGTGACTGCAGCAGTTGTTGGGGTATTCGTTCATCAAAAAATATGTGCATTAACTCTGTTTGTGGGTAACAACCTGCCATCCATATGTTTCTGGCTTATCCTTGCAACTCATTTTCTAAATAAGGTTGAAACCTAACGAATTGAGTCCCTTGCTGTTTCAGTTTGTCAGACTTTCCAATAAAAGGCCTGTGTGTGATGGCTTCATGCTTTTGGTATGTGTCAGAAATAGTTCTATGCATATACATTACAAAATTAGGATTTAATTTTTGTTGTGTAGCCATACAAAATTAGATTATATAATTATTATGTTTTCCTTTCTTATCTTTTATATTTTTAATATAATTTTTGAGGATGCCACAGGGCACTCCTGCTGTGAATTAGCTGCAATAAACTCTCTTAAGCAGATAAACATCAAAGAGCAGTAATGTTTTAAAATGAAGCAACCTGCATTCAAAATCCAATTGCTTTATGTTGTAGATCTTGAATGCTTCAGCTGCTAAAACTGGATGGGGTTTCTCAAGGGCACAGGGGAGTTGCATTAGTGGGATTTTAATGCAACAGGGATCATTCGAGTGAACTTGCTAGCAAAATCCATTTGTTTTCACAGGAACAGGCTTCCTTCTATTTTTCTTCTTTTCTTCTTCCTTAGGGAAAATATCAAGATATGAATAAATTCTCTGCTACCATGTATCCTGCACTTGTATTTAAACTTTCTTATTGAACGGGTTCACAAAATCTTGAGGACTTCATGGTGAATTCTTGTGGGTAATTGATTAACTGCAAACTTCAGTAGGAATATCAACTAAATAATTCCTTTTAAAATAGTTTAGAGGATTTTCTGTAGTATGGCATTCATGTTGAACTTAGAACTGCCACTAGAACTGAAGCACCAAGCCTAGATTCTGTTGAAATGCTTTCAATGTGACAAAAGGCCCCAGATTTGCATTTTGGGACACCTACTTCATATAACTAAGGCACTCTACCTCCTAAGACTAAGGCTGCTTGGAAAAGCCACCTCCTGATGGTAATGTGAGTACAGGATAAGGAAAGCTGGCACCCACGTTGCCCAAAAAATACTTTGTGAAAGTTAATAAGACCTCACACATGGACTGTAGGATGTTTAGGGTCTTACCATCAAGGGTCATGTTTGTCTTGAGCTCCTCAAGACTCTCCAGTTTTCAACCTGACCTTGGTAACAGTTGTGCTTTGCAGGTGCAAAAGAAAAAATATTTATATTTGGGTACACAGCTGCATTTGACTGCTCTAAGCCTTTAATGCTGCTTTAGCTGCGTTGCATCTTTAATATAGTTTCTTTCATACAGTTTTCTGATGATCTAGGGTCCTGAAACCATGGTCAATAAATTGGTATTTTGCTTAGTTTTAACTTGAAATAGATATCAGACTGGGAAAAAATCAGAGCTGAATAAAGCTCCCTATTTCTTTTTTTTTTTTCTTCTTAAAAGGAAAACCTGTGTTGAAAGATGCAACCTCCCTGATACAGTAATTACAGGGTGCTATCCTTAGTGATGTTAAATAGCTCCCTTTAGTGTATCTGTTTGATGTTGAGCTGTGAATTCCCATTCTTTCGTGGGTGTAACTGTAAACAGGAGGATTAACATTGCTTCAGTGATGTTTTGCTTAAGTGAATCAAAGTTGAAAGGGTGTCTTGAATATCTGTAGAAAGCTTTGTGTGTTGCAGGGTTCCTGTTCTATATATATGCACAGTGCACCTTTCATGGTAAACTCCAGTAATGCTTTCAAGTTTGAGTTCATTTTAAGCTTTTTATATTTTGGTTATTCGTGTGGACCATTGTGAGGGGGATCCTCTGGCTCTGTGGTAGTGGCCACAAAGAGGCTGTGAAGTTCCAATCTATTATAGTCATCCTTTCAGCTGCATAATTTGTTTCAAGACCTATCAGGGAGAACAGAGGTTTGCCAAATTTTAGGCTTTCCTAAAACTTGTCAGTGATGACGAGCAGTTACTGCCCCAGGGATGTGGGTCCCTAGGAGCGTGGAAATCCTAAACCACTGTCTTCTGTTGATGCTTGGAATGCAAGCAGAGGAAGGACTGTTTCTTGAGGGGAAGGTCTGATGGCATTCCATGGCTTGGTGCCAGTGTGGCTTGTCCATCACATCCATAAGGCTCCTCATATGTTGTTGCTAACCCAGTGCAGGACACTGAAAAGGAAAAAAGAAAATGGGGAGAGAAAAGTGTGAATATTTTCAGTTCAGTCCCTACCTGACATGTGTCATGTCATCAGCTGTGAGAAAGGAGAGGAAGAAGCAGCATCCTTGGAAACTTGTCTCTCTGCAGGGCTCCCCCCACTGCTCATCCACTCTTCAGCAGCCAAAATCGACCATTAGAGCACCTCTTCACATGCATTTTTTAAATCAGGACTTTAATTAGAAAATACAGTCCTCCTCCCTTCCCCTAGTTATCCAAATAAAAGGCTAACATCATGATTCATTTTTTTTTACATTAACTCAGCCAGATTCTTACCGTGCCTGACACCTCTCTGTGACATGATTGATGTACCAAGGCTTCCCCTGTTATCTCCTACCTTCATCTGATATGGCACTCAGAGCTTGGCAGTGTCAGAAGCTACATCTGCCTCTTTAGTTGTGGCAGGAGCCCAAACCCTGTCTCTTGGAGGGGACTCACTCCTCCATGATCCCTTCCAGGTTGTCAATTAAATCTGTTATTTTCATTTCAGCATGTTTGCTTGCTGTGATCCGAAGGAGATGCTCTGCTCTGCATGGAATCTCTACTTTCAGGAGGACAACAGGAGTTATGTGGGCCCTGTTTTCCTGCCTGGGTCCTGTGGAGGAAGGAGCATTCACGTTCACATGCTCTTCGTTGTTTCAGGATTATTTAAGAAATCAGTGCTGTTGAACTAGCAGGGGATCTTCCCTTTGGTGACCTTTGCCAGAGCAGCTGATTGGTGTGCCCCAGCTGCATGCCATCATTTTCTTGGGAAAGTTTTAAGACTGTCAGAAAAATGAGCATCTTCTTTCCTAGCCCTTACTGACATGTATGGGCTTTGCTGGCTTTTCCAACTCCAGTGTGGGAGGGGTTGTTTGTTTTCCTTTTAAATGTTATCCTGCCATCCTCCTTTTTTAACAATGCTGTATATATATGAAGGCTTGCTATGTATTCAGCGTGGCACATGGACGGAGTGGATGCTTTGAACTGCTTTTGCAACAATGGATTCTGCTTGACTGATAATGAAACCATGGGATAGACCTCAGGGAGGTGAGTCATATGTTAATTTGTTCTTGAGTTTCCTTGGTATGTTAAAAGCTGTGATCTTTCAGAAAAATATCTTATTTTATTATATATTTTTTTTTTAAAGCTACTTCCTGGGGCTATGGCAGATGCTGTTTTGGAATGGCACCCAATGAGTTATTTAATGTAGTTCAGTGCTTGGTTGGCATTCTGCTATTGTGCAAATAATTTTGGTACTTCTTTTACCACAAAGATATTTTATGAAGAGTGGCACATTGTTATACACATGTGGTGCTACGGAGCTCCAGAATATGCATGGGACATAATGTTGAGCTGCAGAAACACAATAGCAATGAGTCACTGAAATCCCTTGTTGGTCACAAGAGTTTGAACAACTGCAGTGATAATCTTTTGAGACAATGTACAACTCCAGTGGTATTTGCTATCTGCTCTGTGGTCTCCCTCAGTTAGCTGCTTCATTGGCTTGGCTTTGTGGGTATCCTAATCATGTTGGCACAGTCACTTTGATTAACAGAGACATGCAACTTGGAAATCTCTAGGCTTGTGCCGACCTCAATAAAGTTGTGTGCTTTTCCTCTTTCCAAATTCCAGCAGCTTCCTGAGGGCACAAGGAGTGTTTCGCACAGTTTTCCATGATGGTTGGTGAATATTGAAATGTGGGGTTCAGAGGAGTCCATCTGCTTCTCTGTAAATTGTAGGCTCAGAAAAAGAAAGAGTAAATAAATTTAAAAAAAAAAAAAAAAAGAAAAGAAGAAGGGGCAAATGCAGGATCCTTGGATCCTTAAATCTGTGTTATTTTTTCATGGCCTTTCCCATAGGTCACTTTAAGCATTAGCTTTAGCCCTTTCTTTGGTAATACAAGGGAGCAGCCTCATCAACATTACTTGATTTGTGCTTAATCTGGCCAATCTTCTCCTGTTACATCTACAGTATATTTCTAGGTGTAATGCTGAATGCTCTCTTGATCTTATTTAATTTCTGTACTGCTCTGCCTTCTGAGAGAGTAGGCTTGTTTTTACAGCCAGGTAAACAGCCTTGCAGGTCCTTTGGCAAAATAATTCCTATTATGCCTCAGACCAGAAGAAATAGAAGTTTAATATCTCATATTACGCTTAAGGAAACTGAGAGGATATGAAATCCATGTGGTGGTTTTGCTAGTGGTTGTTCCTCTGTAAGTCGGTTCTTGACCATATTCCCCAGTCTTCTACTTGTGTTTTTTAAGGAAATACAATATTTTCAATAGCCATCATCTGCTGCTATGTGGTCCTTGAATTACCATCTCCATCACTGAGGGTATGGATGTCTTTTAGAGGACAGCTCAGTCAAGCCAGGGGGGTATTTAACTTAGATAATGTGAAAGGCAAAGTGTTCAGTGCTGAAATTTGAAATAAGATGTGATTTTGGAGGGAGACATTCCCATCTGTCCACAAACTTATATTTTTAAAGTATGCTTTAGATGGGGTACTTCTCCCAGCTGTTGAAAGTGTTGTTTGTAGAGAGAGTTTGTAGATCCTCGTTTAAGGTAGTTTCCAGAACCTGCTTGAGTGATCTCTTTTTTTTCCAAAAACCTTAAGCTTGCTTCTTGTCTCCTCCTTAGCTCAGCTTGCCTTGTCTCACAGGGGTTACCAGGTCACACTTAAACCTTCCCATCCCCTCTCCGTGATGTTGTTGTTGTTAGGGATCAAACCTCATGCTTCCATTTCTCCTTGGAGAAATCCTAACTTAAAATATGCCACAATACCTGCTTCCTTGACCCACTTTGCCTTAAGCCCTTTTTTTATAAGTTTCTTTTTTTTTTTTTCCATAGTGGTAAAGAGATGAGGGATCCTGAGGTCACTGTGCCATGTGGGACATCCACTGAATGTGCCAAAGATTGTGAACATGAGTCTTCTCATGAGTGAGTTGTTTCCTGGTGTTAAAATTTCCACTGTTTACAGTTATCCTTCCATTCATCGAACATTTTTTAGGTTTTTTTAAAAAAATTAATTCTCTAGTTGGAATTTATAGTAATAACACAAAAGAATTGTGTTTATTAGTGATTACTTTGAATCATTCTAGGAAATTTTTTAATCTTTCAAGAAAAGGAAGGGAATCACATTTTTAAGCTTGTTTTGCCTCATTATGAAAAAGTCCATTTCATTCTGTCTTTTTCTGTCTCCTCCTCCTTTTCTGTCTTCATTCACAAGAACATTTGGACTTACAGACATAACTAATTTTAAAATCACTTTGGTTTTTATTGTTATAGGAAAGCTGCTGTCTTGTCATGCATATTAATTTGACACTATTCATCCTATACAAACACATTTCTGGCACTGATTTCTTAGGAATGCAAGTATTGTAAATATATCAGTGTAAATGAACTTTGTTAGACTGATAGTGTAGTGCTTATGCCATTATTTCTCTTCACTGTCCTAAATCACCACTTATTGCATATGACACCTGCTTTTGTGCTCTAAGTTATTTGAGCTGGGGAAAGTTAAGCACACAGTAGCTATGAAAATAATCTTGTTTTCAGCTACAAGCTGGTTTTTTGACTCTCTTTGGGTACTCTGGCTGTAGAATTAAACATTTACTCACTTTGAAGGGAACTGGGGTAACACTACAGAATTGAAGACACTCAGATAACATGCTAAAAAAAGATATATAAGCATCTGTATGAGAAGATGATTGTTTCTTTAAGAAAAGATCAAAAAATGGGGAGAGGTGGAGTTTTCCTTTGTTTTGTTTCTGCCTTTTTTCAAAATGAACATCCAGTGAGGATGCTCCCTTCTGCTCTGGGCAGGAGCCTGTCTGCTATAAGGCACAGAAAAAACCTGGGGAAGTCTACACAAATTCAGAGGATTTTGTGCCTTGCATTTGTCAACTGAAGCTGGAATTGCCTCTTATTTTAACAAAGGATATTCTCCTGTTACTTTGGCTGGGAATTGAGTGTGCAATTTTATCTCAGTGTCATGCTACTGCAGATGCTGGATGAGAAAAGAGGCCTTCAAATGGAGTTGAAAATACTGCAACCAAAACACTGGACAGCTTGGGCTGCTGAAAACCTTTTGCATCAAGGCCTGGCTCCCTTAAAGTAGCTGGCAGTGCTCCCACCGAGTTCAGCACAGCCAGGATTTTGCCTTATATATTTATTCTGATTTATGAAAAGCTCAGTCATCGCGGTGTCTAAGCACTGAGATACGGTATTTAGTTACAAACAATCATTTTAAGGGTGATGCCAAAATCTACACATGCATTAGACTTGGAGATTAAAGAACGTGGAGCTTTGGTTGCATGTGCTTCTCCAGTTGTAATTATTCTTCTTTCTAAGCACTGCAGACCTCCGTGCTGTTGGGCACAGAGGGGCTCCGGACTGAGACAAATCAGAAAGATTATGTGATATAGTAAATAGCTATACATTAATGGATCTTGCTGAGGTGCCAGTAACTACCTTGGTTTCCCTGTCAGCCCCAGAGGAATTAATAATTCCTCAGATTTTAGCCAACCATTGCAGGAAAGGATTTTAATCTTCTGCATTTTTTAATGGAAACTGTTTACCTTGCAATAACTTGTACAGCTCTCCACTCTGATGCTGCATTACAATAACTTGCAGCAGAAGAAAGCTGGTGGAGTTCAAGTGAAATCTATCCCAAGGAAAGAGTATCCAGAGCAGCTGGTTTCATTTATAAATTTTATTTCTGAAGCTCATGAGCATTCCAGTGAGAGATGGTATAATTGATTTAAATCAAATTATGAAACATTATACTTTTTATTCTAAAATCCACTTTTCTGGCATTCAATTCTGTAATGTATCACTCACAGGTAATGCTGGTTGAAGTTGAAGAGGCTGAAAAATTCTCCTCTGCATCATGCAGTCCCTTGTTACATGTCCTTGCCTTGGAGCTGAAGTCAAAGTTTCTGTTTGTAACAGAATAATTGTGTCATTAAGGAATTGAGGCACCATTGCTTGGGTGAGATGCAAAACCTTATGCCTTGAATTTCTTAGAAATAGAAGTGTTCCTTGGTTTTTGGAGGAATGTCTTGGTTCAGTGTTTTTTTCCAGCTGATATAAGTATACACAGAACAAATACATGGCAAGCAGAACAGAGCTGGTTTTAGAAAGGGATAACGTTGGACATTCATTGCAGCACAGGTTATTCTGCATTTTAAAAGGTTCAAAATATTCAGTGTTCAATTGTTCACTCCACTTTCCAAGTGTTTGCTGAGGCTGAAGACCTCGTTAGTGTGTTAAAAGCTTGCCAGAGTGCTTGTTTTCCCTAATAACTTCTGAACTGGCTTATTTAAACCAGATTTTATGGAGGTTATGAAATTCCTATAAATTTTCCGAAAAAATTTTTGGCTGAGCAGAAAGAAGAGGGAACAACTGGTGCTACCAGTCATGGAAAGGCTGCAGCTGGAGCTCAAGTGCTCCCTGCTCAGGTTTGGCCACCCAGCTTGGCTGGCTGGGAGAAGCATCTGGGGGTGGTGCACACGTGCAGCTCTGATCTAGGGCCAGCAGGTACCTGCCCGTGCAGGAGGCATCAGCTGTGAGCAGGTAGATGTGTCTGCAGAGGAGATGTGTCCTCCAAAAGCAGCACAGCAAAGGAACAGAGGTGCTGGAGAGCATCCAGAGGAGGGCAACTAAGCCGTGAAAAGGTCTGGAGTGCAGCTGAGGGAGCTGGGGGCGTTTAGCCTAGAAGAAAGGAGGCTCAGGGGAGACCTTATCACTCTCTACAACTCCCTGAAAGGAGGTTGCAGCCAGGTGTCAGTTTTTTCTCCAAGATAATTAGTGGTAGGATGAGAGGAAATGGCCTCAAGTTGTGCCAGGGGAAGTTGAGATTGAACATTAGGAAAATAATTCTCATGGATAGAGTTATAAAGCACTGTACCAGGCTTCCCAGGGAAGTGGTGGCCACCCCTGGAAACGTTCAGACAATGACTGGATGTGGCACTTGATGACATGGCTTGCTGGTGAATGTGGTGGTGGTGCTGGGTTACTGGTTGGACCTCATGATTTAGGAGGTCTTTTCCAACTTTTAAAGATTCTGTGTCAACCTTGCACAAATGACAATGTGATGACACACTTCAGAGACCTCTGTAATGTCACTGATTCCACTGCCTGGTTTGAAGCAGCTGCTGGAGGATGACTGGGGACATGTGCCCTGACCTCAGTGGCACCATACTGCTGGAGCTGCCTGTGACTCAGAATCACACAGAATCACAGAATAATGAGGTTGGAAGAGACCTCTAAAATCATCAAGTCCAACCCATGCCCTAACACCACAACTAGACTATAGCACCAAGTGCCAAGTCCAGTCTTTTTTTAAACATATCCAGAGATGGTGATTCCACCACCTCCCTAGGAAGACAATTCCAGTATTTTATTATTCCTTCAGTGACTCCCAGCCTGGGTTAAGGTGCAGGGCAGCAGACTGGGAGGTGATATGGCAGCCTGAGAAACAGCTGCACCTAGAGACAAATTGCTTCATTAGGAGGTGAGTGTTACCAGCTTTAAGGAGCCAGTATTACAAAACGCCATGACAACAGATTTGTATTTATTTACTGGCACCCACTCAAATTGAATGTGTATCTCTGAGCAGTGTCAAGTTTCAGAAATGCTGTCTCTTTTCCACAGAGTCCAAGTGCTGGCTGCTGTATGTGGACATGGTCACGGTTCTGTGTTTCACACTTCTGTCCCTTGCTCTTTGCAGGGCCTGTGGGTTTGGGGCATTCATTTGCTGGGATAGGATGGTGTGGAAGCAGGAGATTCCTGCTTTGAAAAGCACTTTTCTAGAAGTTGTTAAAGCAAATATTTTGTGCACTGCATTTACCAAAAGCTTGATGTGGGATGAAGGCCTTTTTGAGGTTTCTCCTGTTTTATTTTCCCCTCCAGTAGAAACTTTTCTGCTAGGCTGTGTCCACTGTGAGCCAAACTTATGTTACTTTTCTCAGGTGCTCAGTTTAAGTGTGTTTGGGAACCACACAGGTAATTTTTGCTCAGTCCTCTGAGAGGAGTCCCTATCAGTGATGATCTATTTGGATCATCAGATTTCCTTCACAGTCCCTGTTGATAATGTTGGAGAATGCATTTGTGCTGGACAAGATGGTTCTCAGCTCCTGTAACTCAAATCTGTGCTTATTCTGGGGGACTTTTCAAATAAGTTTCTCAGTGGTCAATAATTGTATTAGCTATTCCACTCAGCTTAGGAATAGACTGAAAGACATGCTTTAAAAATGGTCTACAGAGATCCATTCTTATGGATAATAATCCATTCTTAATCCATTCTTATCAGTGTTTATACCATCACTAGCTGGATTTGAACCTGCTCCCAGTTCAACATCTGATTGGCAATTCTCTGGGCAGTCTTTCAAGGTCAGTGAAGTGGCATCATAATTGAAGTATAAAATGCATCATACCAGTGGTTTACAACAAGCCCACAGCACAGCTCAGTTGGTTGATGGGCCATCTCTGTTTATGTCAGCTGTTAAAAACTCATGCACACAGCCATCCTAAGTACTGATGCCATCAAATGTGGTCAACACAGACTGTTCAGCCTGCAAAAGTGAGCCAGAAAAGGCATTAAAATGCTTAGTCTATTACATACTTCCTTATTTTTGTCATTTTGACATTTATGTGTTGTATCATTGAGGCTTTTGAGAAAGAAGACACAATTCCTGAAGCAAACTGAACAGGGATGTTCAGTTTATAATGCCACAGCCGTCTGGATTGCATTTAATTCCAATTGACCACCTGCATGCTGTTAACCTCTGGAAGGTTACTGTGATCACAGTTGTTGTTGTTTATTTAAAAGTTTTGTAGCTCAAGGAAAATATTAGCAATCAGTTACTTAACCTACACTGTTTACTGATCTCATTGAACTTGCAGATGCAGCTTTGCTGGCCAGTGAAAACTGGGAGTTGTCTGGTGCCAGTAATTGCTTGCACTTATTTTTCAGGCAGGAGTAGGTTGAGCAATTAAAAGAATTTTATTTTTTTTTAGTAAATATGCTCTTTGTCTGTTGGCTATTTGTCTTATATGTCAAAATCCAAAATATAACTTAGAGCATGTGGAAGGTAACTCTAAATGAGCCAAATTTTCACAGAGGCATGCTTGAGTTGTGAATGTTGCTGGATACACATGCAAACCCCCAGAACTGCATGTGAAAACATACAGGAATTGCAGAGGTAATTCAAGTGAATAATACAATGCAGTCATATTAATGTTCTCTGGCCAGGAGTACTTAAATTGCTGTAATGATGCATTTTACTAAATTACAGAATTCAAAAATTAGGAATTACTTCTTCAACAGTACTGGTTTTTCTTGTTTTTGTTTTTTTTTTTAACATGCCTGTTGCCAACACTTACCTGTTGCCCCTTCAGACCCCCCCTTTCCTCTAACAAGAGCAAAATGCCAGGACTTGGTGACTTTTAAACTGAGGCTTCAGCTGCATCTGTATTCCTCCAAGAGCTTAGCACAAGATCATGGAGTGGATGGCCTCCAAATAGATGATGAGTGTTTGGTTTTATTTCAAACACCACCTAACCTTTCAGTTTGAGGATGGGCTACTGGAAAAGCTTTTTCAGGTAGGACTGATTGGGTGTGTAGTGGGTAAGGGGAGAGAGTTATTTCTGCATTCAAAATCTTGATTATTAATAACAAATCAAAGGCCAAATGTGGTTTGGTCTAAGATAGTAAACATGTATTCTGGCTCCAAATCCATTTCTGTGATGAACCTTGGTTTATCTGTCATCCTGGCTGTCCCTGACCACAGTGTGCTGGGATAACTACTTGGACTGCAGACTATGGGGATATGTGATGGTCAACCAAATAATATTGCAGCAGCTGTTCTAATTTCTAAAAGAAAAGGAATTTGGTTTCCAGCTGAAATTTAGGAAGGCTCAATGTCAACACCTTTGTCAAAGAGACTATGCGACTGAAAACCAAATTTTCCACCAAAAAGCCATGAAGTAAAACTTTCTGCCAACCAACCTCTCTTAACCTCTCTACTGCTTTATTGGGTTTTTGTTTGCTTGTGTGAGTGTCTGTGGGGACACTCGGGCATGTGGATTCAAATGAGCTGTTCAAATAGATTAAACAACTTTAAACCCCTCTGTGGTCTTTGGAAGTGAATTAGATTAAAGTGAATTAGAGCTATTTTAATTCCGAATGAGTGAGTCCACATGGGCTTAATATAGTTGTATATAGAAACCCACATTCAAATCACATCCTTAGTTAACTCAGATTGTTTCCCGTGTAGACAAACCCATCCTGTGTCTGTTTAGCAGGGCACACAGAACTTGCTTCGTCCCTAACTTGCACTATCGACAAGCAGAGGAGCTAAATCAAAAATGATTTTGTGCTGGTATAAATGGTTCCACAAACAATAGGTCGGTAATGCATCTGGCCTGGGATGTGTCCAGAGAAAGAAGCTGGGCCTGAATAGCTTTTAGCTCTCATCATTGAAACCAACAATGCTTGCCAGAAGAAAGCCTTCAGCATTAATTCCATAAGCTATAAATTATTACAGGGCTCTGATTCCTTGGAATGAAATGCAATAGATAGATGGCAGAGAAATATTATTAATGGATGGTTTACTACGTTCCTAACTGCACTGACTTCATGAGAATACATTATATTACTATCTGGAATAGCAATACTAGGGATTTATTAAAATGACTGAGGACGCATTGTTAGCTAGGATACCGTGCTATATTGGAAACATAAAGTATTCTGCATCAAAGCATATAATCTACATCTTTCCTTTTCATCCTTAATTTGATTATGAACTATTACCATGCTTTGCCATAAAATAGGAAAGTTGTACGTTTTGATGGTTTCTCAAATGCTGATTTTACTTTCTGCACAAATACTTTGTATCTTTTCAGCATAATTATTTAGCAGCCATTTCGGGTTAATTATTGTCATTAACAATATGAGTCCTATGAGGGAATATCAATTAAAATATGCACAGCTGAACTTTCAAATGAGTAAATAATTTAGTTTTTGAAAATGACTGGAAACAGCAGGGTAACAGTCAAAAGGGGAACAATTATTTTAATGCTTATTTGACAAATGAGTAATTTTTACAGCAAATTAGTTTCTTATTGTAGCACCCCTACTGGTAACAAGAGAGAAACTGTTAACATGAGTTTTAAAAATAAAACCTGCTAAGATATGCATGCGAAGTTAAGAAAATCATTTGTATGAAGAAAAGGTGATTATGATACACATTGTTAGCTGAAGAATGTTGCCATGGGAATCTAATTAGGGATATAAATCACACAAAATTATGTTTATATATAGGGCTGGATACATTAAAATCATATGCACAGTTATACATCAATTTCATTCTTTGTCAAAGTATT